AAAAAAAAAAAAGTTAACACCAAGTTTTTCCCTAGGGCATAAAAACACTCCAGTTACCATGCCTATAAGCGGGCAGTGACGCACCTTCAAGGTGCCGCGTGTCTCCATGTGTTCTCCCGAAAAGAAGAGGTAAGAACTCAGAAGCAGGCCCATACAGGCTCCCCGGGAGCAAAGACCGCAACGAGCCTGGAGCCTCTGCAGACGCTGCTGCTGTCACTTGGCCTTGGGGACTGCTGCCACTCAGGAAGGTGGTTATTTCCGGTTTTTCAAGAGAAGCTAGAAATCCAATTTTTGTATGCAGTCCCTTAAATTTGATTGCTGGCTCCAGCTTCAGAAAACCCCAAATGTGGGAACCAGCAGTTAGTGTAATGGCTATGTCACTGGACTCCCACGTAGTCGACTGTGTTTCGCGTCCCAGACCCGTGGCTTAAACTTGCGCCGGGTGCGTGTGCGTGCGTGCCCAAGATCCTGAGAGGAGAATTGGAGGAGTCCGACCTGGCGAGGCCCCAGAATCTGTCTGAGCCCCCCGACTTTTAAGCTCTGCTTTTGGTCGGATCAACATGATGGCAAGACTACTGTTGTGCGCCCCCCGACTTTGAAACAAAGCTTGGGTCAATTAGCATGTCAGCAAGGCTGTTTGCTATTTGCTCCAGAAACTGTGGCAGCCTTACTGGGAAGCGACCCCTCTCTGACTCCCCAATATACTACTGTAAAAGAATTACATAGCTCTCTTATACATCCTGAGTATACGATAAAATCTTCCAGGAAGTCCCCCGACTGCTCCCCTTTGCTCTGATCACTTACTATTAATTACAATGCGTTATCTCCATGGTCGCAATAGAAGGTGGGCTGAAGTTCTATCTAGGCAGAAGTAATCTTGACTTTTGGAAGGCCCTTCAAAATACATTTAAGGTAAACTTAATCCTTTCTTTACCTAAAATAGGATTAGGCCAAAACTGGCCCAGGACACCTCCACCCTCTCTAAGTAAAATAGATAAATATATTAGGATTTTTTAAATTAAGTTTTAAATCTCTACAAAATTGTATAAATATTATTCTTTATTAATATTCATAAGAACTAACATCTATTCTTGAGATTTTCTTTTTTCAGCACCATTCCCAGTAATCACAAGATGGCTGCTGCGCCGCATCAGCTGATAATCACCTCTGCTTACCGGAACCGCTTTCCCGAAACTGCATTCCTTGGAGACCCACCTACAACTGTGGAACTGCACTAGACCCACCCTTAATCAAACCCTGAATTGCACTAGACCCACCCTTAATCCAACCCTGAATAGAATCTATGTTCTCTATTGTTAAAAAACTTGATGAGCTGTTAATTGAAACATGTAGCCCCTCTCCCTTTACTTGCATGTATCACATTTTCAATAAAAACACATGATGATTCCTAGCAGTGGTCACTCCTCAGAGAGCGATCTCTGAGGGGTGTCCAGCAAAGGACGTGCATGAAAAGGCATTGAGGCCCTTGTCTTCTGTTCACCTTCGCCGCCTCCGTCGAGATAACCCACCCACGCTGAGGCTGGTCCCCGGCAGATTGGCGCCCCAACGTGGATTGCTTGAACAGGGACGTGAGAATGGAGGAGAAGGGATTGCGGTGTGACCATCCCCCCTGAGGGATGATTTCTCGCTTTCTGTCTCTATGTCTCTCTCTGTCAGTCTGGCGAGCACATGTGCCCTATAGCAAAAAAACCTCTCCAAAAAAGAAAAAGAAAAAGAAAACCCCAAATGCATGTGTATACCTAACAAAATGTATCTGTGAGTTATCTGCAGTCTCGAGGCCTCCAGTTTGCAACCTCCCTCCCCACTGACTTTATTACATACTGCTGAGTGATTCTCAGTTTTTGCCATTATCTTCCTAATACTTTACCCCATTCGAACGCTGAGAAAATGTGTAAAAGAGCTCTGCTTCTTGTAGCATGGTAGTAGAAACGACATTCGCATCACTTACCCTGCTGACTTCCTTAGGAGCCGATTCATCTGAGAAATGGAGGGAAGGGGAAAACACAGTTAGAAACTGAGCAGGTCTGGAAGTGCACAACACGTCATCACGCTCAATGAACTGAAGGCTCTTTTGCAATGCTTCCTCTTATGAAATCTAAGAACTTGATTATAAAAATCTTAAAGGTTAAACATCCAGTGTTGGAAGTGGACTTTAATTCCAGAGGGGAAATGAAATACCACAACCACCTTTTCCAACTGCCTTTCAGAGGTCCCAAGATGGAAGGTCTGCTAACACGGCCACGCTGTGCAGACCCCCCGCTGCGGCTGAAGTGGCACACCCGCCGCACCCCGCACGCCGCCACCTCACGAGTATCTCTGAGGGCTGTTAGCCCGTGTGCTGTGAGGCTTCCACGCAGCAGACCCAGAACTGTCCTGAACCGTGTGGCTGCAGTGAGATTTACCATCATGGCACTCGGGACAAAGCACAAGACACCTCATAGTAGCACGGCTTGGGCCATGGACCTGTCGACTCCAGCTTGTCAGCACTTCATTGCTGAAGTGAGACTGATGCTTTGTACTGGTCTAGGAGGGAGCCCCTGGGGGAGGGGGGCTGTCCCACTGGGGCTGGCTGCCGGCAAGGACATGCCTGTGTGGTCAACAGCACGTAAGGCACAAGCTGGAGCTGGAGGTCCCCTTAGGCCCAAACGTCCCACGCACAGTCACTGGCTCTCCCCTGAGAACAGTGTCTGCGTGTGGCCCCCTCAGAGGAAGGGCTCCTGACTCAGCCTGCTCCCAGACCCCCCGACGCGGCCTTCCGTTCAGTGCCATTCTAGTGTCTTTTCCCTGCAATAAACGGTAGACTTACAAGCACAGGTACAGGCCCGATGTCTTCCAGTCATCTAGCCCTTTCTCTCACCACCAGTGCACCGTTGACATGCCAACAATTGCACACTCTTTGTCACTGGAAAGCAGGCCTAATTTATCTTCACTCGGCCAAAAACATGGGCTACCCCTGCCCTCCACGCTCAGACAAGGCCGTGAGTCCTAATTTCTCCTTCCATACCCGTGGTAAATAAACTACTGAGTCTCGAAGTGTCTTTCTGCTTCTCTAGCCTTTCTCAGATTTACCGCTCACCACCCACTGCCTCCATTGCCCAGACGACACCAAGTCCAGTCCCGGCTGTCCCTGAACCCAGCCTGTGCCTGCACACACGTTCGCTCCCACACACTCGCCCAGTCTGTCTTCCGAAACGCCCCGTCTGTTTTGCTCCTCAAGTGCGTCAGTACTAAAGTAAACTAGATTCCAACACTAGCTGCACGTTGTCTTTACCCAAGACGTTTTTAAAAGTACCAGTCGGGGCCCAGCGAGGATGGTGTGGGTGGTGGAGCACAGCTTCCCGATGCTGGAGCTGGGAGGGAGGCCCGGGTTCAGATTCCTGGTCGACCTGAACATACCAGAAATACCTGGATCCTGACTGGCTGGGAGGCAGAGGGGAGGATTACGGCATGGCCACACCCTCCCAAAGGTACCTGTCTGTCAGTCTTTCACTCCTTCTCATGTAATAAATTAAATAAACTTTAAAAAAAATTAGGCTCAGTGCTATCTGATAGCAGGTTTTCAAAAACAGTGCCAGGCCTACCTAGGCAGTGCGTACACAGCGGTGTTTGGACTTCCCTAGGGCAGTGCGTACACAGCGGTGCCAGGCCTACCTAGGCAGTGCGTACACAGCGGTGTTTGGACTTCCCTAGGGCAGTGCGTACACAGCGGTGCCAGGCCTACCTAGGCAGTGCGTACACAGCGGTGTTTGGACTTCCCTAGGGCAGTGCGTACACAGCGGTGCCAGGCCTACCTAGGCAGTGCGTACACAGCGGTGTTTGGACTTCCCTAGGGCAGTGCGTACACAGCGGTGCCAGGCCTACCTAGGCAGTGCGTACACAGCGGTGTTTGGACTTCCCTAGGGCAGTGCGTACACAGCGGTGCCAGGCCTACCTAGGCAGTGCGTACACAGCGGTGTTTGGACTTCCCTAGGGCAGTGCGTACACAGCGGTGCCAGGCCTACCTAGGCAGTGCGTACACAGCGGTGTTTGGACTTCCCTAGGGCAGTGCGTACACAGCGGTGCCAGGCCTACCTAGGCAGTGCGTACACAGCGGTGTTTGGACTTCCCTAGGGCAGTGCGTACACAGCGGTGCCAGGCCTACCTAGGCAGTGCGTACACAGCGGTGTTTGGACTTCCCTAGGGCAGTGCGTACACAGCGGTGCCAGGCCTACCTAGGCAGTGCGTACACAGCGGTGTTTGGACTTCCCTAGGGCAGTGCGTACACAGCGGTGCCAGGCCTACCTAGGCAGTGCGTACACAGCGGTGTTTGGACTTCCCTAGGGCAGTGCGTACACAGCGGTGCCAGGCCTACCTAGGCAGTGCGTACACAGCGGTGTTTGGACTTCCCTAGGGCAGTGCGTACACAGCGGTGCCAGGCCTACCTAGGCAGTGCGTACACAGCGGTGTTTGGACTTCCCTAGGGCAGTGCGTACACAGCGGTGCCAGGCCTACCTAGGCAGTGCGTACACAGCGGTGTTTGGACTTCCCTAGGGCAGTGCGTACACAGCGGTGCCAGGCCTACCTAGGCAGTGCGTACACAGCGGTGTTTGGACTTCCCTAGGGCAGTGCGTACACAGCGGTGCCAGGCCTACCTAGGCAGTGCAGCTACAGTGGTGCCTGGCCTATCTGAGCAGTGTGTCCACAGCACACTGAACTGCAGTTCCAGGAGCCACATGGATGACCACAGGTCTCCATCCCTGATCAGCCTGCAAACTGAGTGCATGTCAGCACCCAAGATCCCGAGACCCTGAGGGCCTGGAGGGCCAGAGGAGGAGGATCGTACTGTGACAAGACCCTGCCGGGTGCTTTCTCTCTCCTTCTCTCTCGTGCATGCATACATTCTCTATCGTTATTAAAAAGAAAAAAAGAAGAAACACTTATTTTTTTGTGTGTTACTGCATTAATAAATACTTGTTTATATATTTTCGTATATTTTTTGCATAATAAGAAAACTACAGGCAACTTTTCTAATAGTGTGACAATGCCATAGCAGAGAACACTTCATTTTATTTTATACATTAAAGTCTCATCATAGAAATATTTCATTTACTCATCAACTCCTAAAGACTTAGCTTCTCCCAAAGCTCTCTGAAGATGGGACTATTTAGTTTAACTATTACAACAAATCACCAGATTCTAAAGTTATAGAGGCTTATATGCTTTCAGTTGTGTTCTGTTTTGTTTTCATTTTTAATCTAAGAAATTCAACGAGCATGGTTAGAAAAGTGAAACTGAATTACAGACAGGTAATACGAGTAGCAGCGTCTGGACGGGTCTAATGGCGCTAACCAGGCTACGGCACGTTGGATTTGTCCACTCTCCACCAATCACCACTGCAAGTCTGAGAATTAGCTCAAGGGAGGACGGATACGAATGCCCGGATGTGTAAGCAAACGTTCCTCTGACCATTCCGTTAGTCTACGAGCTTAGTATTTCTAAAACTTAAGTGTGCGTAAGATACTTACTCCTATCTATTTACAAAACCGACTATCTTCTGATTTATGGATGATTTCAAGTATTTGAAAAAAGGAATTTTACCTACAGCTGACTTCTGGATTTTTTTTAACCTTATGAGCTGATTTAGAAATGTGTCCCCTATCTCCTCCTCCAACTCTGCAGTCAATTTTTATTTCTTTATTTTTACTGTTGAGCTTACTCATAATAGCACATGGATGCATACAAGGGAGGAGAGACAGAAACAGGGAAAAAGCACCTTGGACTGCGTTTTGTCACACCACAGCCCCTGGCCCTGGCCCTCCTGTGCATCGGCACCTTGGGTGCTCACCTGTGCACAGCTGTTTTCAGTCCGACCGCGGGACCCAAACTGGTGGCCGCTGTCTGGCTTCCAGCACTGTGGTTTAATTTGCTACCAACTTCAACCCCAAGCTGGGCACAAACAATTTTTTACTAAATGAAAGTCGAATCTGTCATTCGTAAGGATACAGTATTTTAGCTCCCTGAGGAAATGAGTGAACACACAGAAACGTGCTGTCCTAGGATGGCCGAGACCCACGTCCTACATTTGGAGTTCGGTTTCGTCCACCTCCTTCAGCTGCTCCCGGACGGAGGGGCAGCACTGGGAGCACAGAAGAGGGGCAGCGTACCTGGGCCTTAGAGCATGACTCGGCTTGCAACCCCAACCTGAGCCCTGGCTGGCCACACTGGGCAGGTGGGCGGGGGCCGGGCTTCCTCGGCACCTATCGGCCCAAGGGAAACAACGTCCTCGCAGTCAGCTGCTACTGAAAATGCTGCTCTTTTCTGCAAAGGCAATTTTCAAAGCAAAGGAGGGGTAACAGCACCCTCCACTCATGCAGTCTGTGACCCTGCAGTTGTACAAATTCCAGGTCAAACCCATGGCGAGAACATCACGTCCCATCGGCCTCCAGCACGCACTCACAGCTCGACTGCGGGATGGCCCTGACCACTGAGGCAATGAAGCTCGCTTTGAAATGAAGAGTAAGCGGGTCCCAGAAAAGAAGAAGCCCTCCATGAATACCAGATTTTCACTTATTCATGAGCATCAAATTGGCAACGGAAAGGTTCACAAGAAAGGACCTTAATTTCTACGCAGCGAAGGGTGCCAGGAATTGCATTCAGCAGCTACCCGCTGAGGAGCCGCGTGTGCAGACCAGTCCCTGCTCTCGTGGCACGGGAATTTAGCGGGATACATAAACAAAGGAACAAGTACTTTCGGAAAAGCAATGTCTGTACTCGTTAAATTCATTTTTTATAAAAGGAGAAAGCACCTACCACCTAAACATCATTTTAATCATTTTAAAATGTCTTAGTAAGAATAGTTCATAAGGGGAAAATTCCCTAAGTACATCTTATACGTTAAGTGCTTAATTTTTTTTGTTTGTTTGTTTTTTGAGAGGTTTTTGCTATAGGGCGCATGCACTCGCCAAAAAAACAGAGAGGCAGACAGAAAGTGAGAAATC